AAATTAGAGGAGAGGGGAGGGGAATGCTCTTCTAACCCTCCCCTCCAAATTGGGGTTTGGAGGGGAGAGGAGAGAGAAAATAATTAAAATAAATTTAAAACTTTATTTTAAAAATTCTAAACTATTTTTGATATTAAAAGATTATATATTATCTTTCTCTCTCTCTCTTTTATAATAAAATAAATTTTATCACCTTAGAAAAATTAATATATAATTTTTTATGTATTAAGTTTTAATATTTTTATTAGACTCACTGATAAAATATAATTTGTTCTTCAAATTTTTTATTAATATAAGTTCATATTCTTAAAATAAAAACTTAATAAATTTGAATATTACAGTTTTTTTCAATGCAAAAAAAAAATTAAGTTAAATTTGATAAAAATAAAATTGTTAATTTATTTTTTATTCTCCTTCCCTTCCCTCCTTTCCTAAACCAAATAAAGGTTTATTAAATCTCCTCCCCTCTGCTCCCTTTTATCCCTCCCACCCCTCTATTAAATCCCTCCCCTCCCTTCACCTCTTCTCTTCTTAAATCAAACACACTATAAATTTAAATAATGACTTTAATTTTTTTTGTAAAAGAAAACAAAAATAGGTTTGGTATGTTTGAAAAAATAAATTTTAACATCGTGGTCAACAAAGAGAGCTTAGTCAACTAGGTAACAAGACAAAGGTTTCATCTTAAAACAAGGAACCAGCTTAGTGCTATCTAGCAATAATATAATGTAATGTCTATTAAAAAAATAATGGATAAAGTCTAATTTTAATCTTTTAATTTTATATAAGATTTTAATTTAATCCTTTAACTTTGAAAAATATTTTTTCAATTCTCTAGTCCTAATACCATTAGTTTCATGTGGTTTTTTTTTCGTGTCAATCATTGTTATTTTAAAAAATTAAATAAAATTAAAGGATTACATTTATACTTTAACAAAAAAATAATGTAATCTAATATCTATTGATGCAAGTGGGAATAACTTATTTACTGATGTTGAATGTGTCTTCTCTCGCCAGGAAGTTCGTGCTATTCATTGTCTAGCAATGTTTGAAGACATGGACTAAGATCGTCAAACCAATTAAACTACCACCTAAATACAAAAATGGTTTGGTTTGAATCATTAATCTGCTTTGGAGACTAGCCTGTTTCGGCCAGCCTTGAAACAAATAGTTTTGACAGAATTGAAATTAATTCGAAACAGTTGGATCGTTTTCAATTGTTTTTTTTTCTTTTTTACTCTTATTTTAATAATAAAATTTTTTACTCAATTTAGAAATACTAATGTCAATTTACTTCAAAGTTATTATAGTAGAATCTTGAGTGTGTGATTGATTTATAGGCATTATATGAATGAAAGTATATAGAAAATTAAAAACTCAATTGCTTTAAAATGACAATAAGGTAAATAAAAGGATATATATATATATATATATATGAAAGAAATGACAAAATTAAAACTTATTATGTTATGACTAAGCAACTTTGAACTGTGAATGATATTGTCAATATTTTTAATGTTTTATTTATAAATATATGCATATAAATATTAATTTTTATTTAATCATTATATTGTCATTTCAACTACAAGTCTAATTATTTAAACCACAGGAACTGTGATCCATTAATCTTTCTTGTTTATCATCTGATTTGATTTTCAAAGCATATTTGTCAAGTTCTTTAACAATCATGTGTGATAAATATATAGCCTGTCGTGTAAGTTAACCAATTTAATAAAAGCTATTGTAGTCTAATTCTTTTCAGACACAATTAATATAATTAATTAATTTTTTAAATAATGTGATACAATTTTTTTATTATCCAAAATGATGGCGAAATCAGTGGAGATATTTCACATAGAATTCAAGCTGGGTGGTTTAATTGGAGAAAAGCTAAAGGAGTTATTTGTGACCGTAAGGTGCCTAATAAACTTAAAGGAAAGTTTTATCGTACTGCTATCAGACCGGCAATGTTATATAGTAGTGAATGCTGGGCTCTAACGGGACAGCAAGAGCATAAAGTTGGAGTAGCAGAGATGAGAATGTTACGATGGATGTGCGGACATACACGTAAAGATAAAATTCGAAATGAGCACATACGTGAAAAAGTGAGGGTGGCAGCTATTGAGGAAAAAATGGTAGAAAATCGGTTGAGATGGTTTGGGCATGTACAAAGAAGACCAAGGGAGGCACCAGTGAGAAGAGTGGAACATATAACTTTGAGTCCGATTAAGAGAGGTAGAGGAAGGCCTAAGAGAACACTCTTGGAAGTTGTTGAACGTGATCTCTTAATTAATAATATTTCTAAAAGCTTAATAAATGATAGAGCACAATGGCGTCTTGCAATCCATGTAGCCGACCCCACCTAGTGGGATAAAGGCTTGTTGTTGTTGTTGTTGTTGTTGTTGTGATACAATTTTTTCTCCTACAAATAGAAATGAAGGGAGCACTCCCTCCACTGAAAATATAACATATTAGTAATTAATTTACAGTTCTAAAAAATATTAGTTAAAATCTTAATTTCTTAAAAAAATTTACATCTTTCTAATTTTGCTCTCATTAAATATCCTATATAAATGCTTTGATATTGACAATTAAAATTTTAATTCATCATTTTTTAAAAAAAGTAATAAATGAAGTAGGGGTATAGTTGAAAAAATAATTATAAAGATTATCAAATGTCCTACATTTTGGATCAAGCAAGGCTTCTAAAAAATATCTTATACTATAGTTGGATCGAGTAAGTAAATATAGGGCCTATTTGTTTAAAAGTGAAATATAAGTGATTTTTAGATAAATTAGAGATTTTATAAAAAAAATTATTTTGTAGAGATTTTATAAAAGACAAACATTATTTTACATCTGGTTACAATAATAAAAACATAATTATTAAAATATTAATGCATCATTTTTTTCAAAAAGAATAATAAATGAAGTAAGGGTGTAGTTGAAAAAAATAATTATAAAGTTATCAAATGCCTTATATTTTGGATCAAGTAAAACTTCTAAAAGATGGCTTATATTGTAAGTAAAATATAAGGCATGTCTGTTTAAAATTAAAAATAAGGAATGTTTAGATAAATTATAGATTTTATGAAAAGAAACTTATTTTGTAGATATCTTATAAAAGAAAAACATTATTTTTGTTTGGTTACAATAATAAGAAATTAATTATTAATTAATTATTTTTAAATTTTATTATATATTTCTTGATTTCTATTTTATAAAATGATTCGTTATGCTATTGTTTTAAAATTTTATGATAAATTCATATATCTTACTTTTTTAAAACACTCTCTCATTTATCACATTAGATTATTTTTAAAATACTTAAAAAATAATTTTAAAATAATCAGAAATATACCCTTTTTGGGATTTTGATTTTTTAAAAAAGTTTAAACAAATATTATAAAAATCACAAAATAAATTCTTTTTTAAAAAAATAAGTAATTTTTTCATAAAATAAGCTAAAAGAAACGGGTCCATAATTATCACACAATGTTTTAAAAAATTATTTATATATATATATATATACTATGCTTAAGATTAGTTACTTTTTTCCGTAAAATATCCTTGTTATTAATGTTTAATTAAAAATTAAAATGCATCATTGCATCATTAAATGCAAGTACATCCTAATCTAAGGGTAGAATTGGGGAAAGTTAACTTATTTTTAAAACCAAAATATTTTGAAAAATTTTGCTTATATTTGAGATTGAAGAGACTCGGCTCAAATTAAATGCATAAAATGCATATCTATTAGGGTGTTGTTTGCAGGTTAGCTTAGTTTGTTCTTCTTTTTTTTTTTTTTTATGTCGTTGTCTAACTTTTACTTTTTGTGAAATTGATTTTAGGGTTTGGCCCAAAAAAAATGAAAAGAATAGATTTTAGGAAGAATGACAACTAAATCTCAAAAGAAAAAATTAATGATAACTAGATCCTTGATAAATTTCTTTAAAAAATTAGTTATAAATATTAATTTAAACAGTTGTAAATTTTAAAATTTTAATTGTAAATATGATATTTAAATTCTAAATATAACAATTATTTTACAATTTAGATTTCCATTTATACCTACTTAAATTGATGTTTACAATTTATTTTACAAAAAATTTTATCAAAAATTTAACAATCATTAATTCATCCTATCAAAACTTTATTGTCATACCCTCTAGATTTTAGCACTCAAGCTCAAATTAACCTCCAACGATTTTGAGTTTTTCCTTATATATTTCATTGTACTTTAATTGAGTTGATCTTTTCAAAAAGGAAATAGGGGAGATTATATGGGCCTGCTTAATTTTTATTTTTATTTTTTATTTTTAAAAACTGTTTTGCAATGCAGTTTTTAAAATAAAATAAAATAAAAATTTATTTGTTTATACCAATTAAAAACAGTTTTAAAATTAAAAAATAAATTAATAGTAATGGTTATTGACAGTTAATAATCATGATTAATAATAAAAATTTATCAAAATATTTATAATTTTCAATAATTAAATATAATATATCTTAAAAATAAGAAAAATAAAATAAGAACAACTTAAAGTTTCTTTTTTTTTTTTGTTTTTAAAAACAAAAAATAAAAACACATTTAGATACAACTAAATAAAAAACACTTATCTAAACAAATCCTAAAATTTTTTTGTTTTCAAAATTAAAAAATAATTTTTTAAAGCAGAAAACAAACAGATCCTACATTTCATGGCTTTGCACTGAGAAATTGGCATGTGGTAATAAATGGCCCCAGATGAACGTATCCGTCATTTAATAGACGTGCTTCTTGTACAAGGGTTGCGTAGAATGTGAAAATTGTAACCCATCACACCAAGCACGTTGGAAATTGTCGGTAACAAGGTACCGTACCACTATTAACTTTTGATTTGATTTCTGTCTGCACATTTCTAATATAATAGTAATTAGACATCTTTCTTGTAGTTGCATGAACATTGAGCGTGTATTGAAGATAAAGACTGCATCACTTGAATAATTTGCACAAAAGAAGCAATAACAACTATGAGGAATAAATAATAAACCCTTGCTAAGGAATATCAGAACAAAAATACTTGAAACTGGGAATGCCAGATAACTACAGGTTATAATGGAACTTTTCCCATCGGCAAAGCCAAGGAGGAAAGCATCACTAGTACATGTCTGCATGATTCATATTCACAAGTTGAATACACCTCAATGTTCAAAGAAACACGAGGTTTCATGGCCAAGATGCATCCCTTCACGCCTGTTACTTCTCTAGCTCTCCTCTGTATGCTTTTGGGAGATTGAGCAAAGTGAAAGTAGGGGGTGATGTGGTTGACAAATACTAATGGGTACTTATGCGAGATGAGCAACCCTATCCCAAAAACTAGCTTTGAGGTGAAAAAACAAACCCACTTAAATATTCCATTGAATATCACATGCTATTCAATGTGGGGCTTAAAGCACAGCTCTGTGGGGACAGCGGCTTTCCATGGGGAGTGATTAATGGAGACTTGTTAACATGAGATATCAAGTTTCACATTGTGACACTGAATGGAATATTTGAATGAGTTGGTTCTCCTGCTTGGGCATGCAATTTATTATGGAAATGGACAATTGGAAGAAGTTAATCTTCAGATTAAACGAAACTATCACTGAACAGAAAATGGCAGAACAGGTGAAAAAAAGACTAGCCTCCAATTATACGCTCTAGTTAGTACTAGCAACTGATGAAAGTGCTTTCCTATAAAAAACCCTCAACCCCACGACCTGCTCTTTCATTCTTGTATATAGTTAGAGCTTCCTCCATGACCTGAGCTTGAGCCAGCAATTGTGCCCTCTTTTTTCCAGATGGGTGAGTAGAGAGGTAATCTCTAAGTGCTGAATCCCCAGTAACTTTCCCCAACTTCTCATAGACTGTGGGTGCCACCCGGGGATCATATCCGGCTGAAGCAACTAATAGCAACCCAATGTAGTCAGCTTCCATTTCCATCCTGAAAGTAGAGAATAAGGGTTCATGTTACAGGTGGTGTGTTGTATTGCAGCACAAAAAGGGATAATGAGAGTTTTCCCCCTTTTGAAATACATAATGAGGGCATTATTTCAGCATAAAACCAACCAATAAACAAGCAGCTTTATACAATATTCATATTTAGGTCCCATGAAATAGACCTAAATAACTGCCAGAAGAGGCAATCATATGATTTCATAAATGAGAACTGGAGGAAAAGCCAGAAAATATTTGGACTTATATTGAGTTTAATGCCCCTCATATAGTGAAATTCTGAAATCAGAGAGGGAAAGCTATGAGTTATGGCAGTTTTTGGTCAGATTGTCAAAATAAGTAGTCCTACATCATAATGCTGAGGAGAAGCCCAATCAGCATCAGCATCAGCAAACTTAAAATCAAAACAGAACACGTGGAACAATGTACAAAAATAATCTAGTAAAGAATAAGAAAAAAACTGAGACACTTTTCAGTAGGGCTGTGCAAAAGTCTTTTGATCCAGTCAAACTTGGGACAACTCAGTCCGATCCGGCCTGGATAAAAATTGGTCTTTGAGGACCAAAAAGACTGGATTCTTTCTTTGGATTGGATTAAGTAAGAGATTGAATAACTGGACCACTTGGTCCGGTTCTAAAAATTTATTTAATATAATTATAATTAATTTATCAACAATTATAATAATAAGTTAATTTATAACAATAATTAGTAATTTTGTGTTGTATGCTTATGAAGTCATGAATATTGAGCAAAATTTCATCATTGACCAACCTTAATATTCTCTTTTTATTGGTGACATTTGTTGTTAATTTGATATAACGGACTTTAAACATGTTGAAGGTTGTTTAATATTGTGAAAGGTTGTTTAATTTGAATCCTTTCTGTTGTAATTGAAATACCTTTTGTTGTTGTTGGAGATTGTTATGGATTTATACTTGTTGTGGTAATAAATTTTATATGACTATAAATAATTTTATTATCTTAATTGAGATTATTACATTAACATAAATTGCTGCCTCTCATAGAGAAAAAAGAAAACAAACAAAGTGAGATACTAGACAAAACCGAAACCAGTCTCCTAGTCCTATTGGACTAGTCTGGCCTTGTTCAATATCGAGTTATACCAGGACCAAATCAAACCACGGGTTTCCTAACTCATTCCTTTCCATGAAAAGGATTAGAGTTTAGGTTAGGTCGAAATCCTATTAGGTCTGTCCTTTGTGCAACCCTACTTTTCAACATAGAATATTAAACTGCTTCCATATAAACTCATCTTTTATCAACCATTAACTGCAAGAGTGATTGCTGATGGACAAAAATCAGAAGTAATTGCCGCATAATTGATCTTTAAATATAGAAGGCTGATTGAGCGGCAATTGTTCAACAGAGCCACAAGTGCCCAGGAAGCAATGAGTTATTTAAAATCACAGACAACTTCCCCACTCAATTCTTCTCATCTTCCCCACTTTCACTAATTTTTTTTTTAACACCACATCACATGTTATTGCTAATTAATCATTATTCCGCAAGAAATTAAAGCTCAATAATTGAGAATGAACAAATTTTACCTCCTTGAAAAAGGCAGCCTTAAGAAAAGAGCTGACATTGTGTTGACAACATCAGGCATGACAAATTGATAGAGTATCAATTGCAGAATCGCAACCCACAGATTTTTTGTGATCCCTTCAGCACTGTGTCGAGCCACAGCATGGCCAACCTAATTAGTAATTAATAAAAAAATCATAAAGGAATACATCTACACTAGTATCCAAATACAAAACCAAAGCACGATCAACAGGTATACCACAACCAGAAAAACAAAAACAAAAAAAGAAAAAAACTGCAAATATAAGGAACCAGAGCAATGTATAAACTTACCTCGTGTGCCAGAATAGTTGCTATCTCCGCGTCACTTCTAAAATGCTCAAGTAGACCAGTAAACACAACAATCTTCCCCCCGGGTAGGCAAAAAGCATTAACAACAGGTTCATTCACCACTAAAACCTCCCAATTTAATCCATCCAAATGCGAGGTAGCAGCCTGTGAACCTCGTTTCTCACCCTTTTTTCTGCTCTGCTCAATCCACTTGTCATCAAGAATCTCATCCTCGCGGGACCATTTTCCTTCAAACCCTCCTTCCGTCTCTGACAATGCATTCAATGTCCCACGCACATTAGCTTCATGAGCCGTGGTGTGCTCTGATGCATAACCCAAATCACTCCAAACCTGCTCTTTCCTCAAACCTCTCTGCAATGCATCAATTATTTCCTTAGCTATCATCCTTACCCGTATGCTTTCTGGGTGTATAGCAGGCAATATTTTGCCTTTAAACGATGCTTTCATTTGCTCAAACTGGGACTCCCCAAGCCTCCTCTCCAAAGATTTGGACATAAGAATGAAATGAGTCCTCTTAGTATAAGGAACGGTTTCCAAATTCCCAAAGTATACAGTTATAAAAAGCCCTGAACCAACCATCACAACAATAAAGACATTTCTTGGATCCTGAAACCAGCGACTAGGTCCTCGGGGCTTGAAATGTTGCACATTGTGCCGATCCACGTAGTAAAATCTCCTGCCCCCGGCGAGAAACGGATTAGACAAGTTCCTATTGACTCCACCTGGTAAGCCTAATCTATGAGATACAAGAGAATAAGACGAAAACCCATAACTGTTAGCCCCTTTCCGTGCAGGAGTCAAGTATTCAGATTGGCAAAATCCAGCACAGCGCTGTGGAGTTTGGGTTTTGGGCATAATCCTTGAAGAGAAACTACGAATAGCATCAAACCCAAGCTTCCCTCTTCTGTAGGATCCCATGATCGTGCAACGAATTAAACAAACTAAAAGAATGAATAACTCAGATCAAAACAGGAAAATTATCTTTCTCAACCAAAGCGTCATCCAAAAATGCAAATCGTGAAAAATAACCAGGCAAAACGGGGGAATAAAGAAGAATCGATATCAAAAATGAACAATTGAATCCAGAAGAAATGGAACCAAATAGATAGCTGTACGGTTCAGTGGAGAGAGGAGGAAGAGAAGACGCGAAGGAAATAGAAGGGAATAGGGAAGCCGCGAAACGGCATATTCAGAGATGCCTCTATGGAAGAACTGGATTCATTTTCCACTGAGGGTAAGAGACGAGAGAGACGACTCGAGGAAAAACGGAGATCAGAATTACCACGGAAAAAAGAAAATTCTAGATTTCCGATACAAGACCAGGCATTGACAAGGCGTGGTCTGAGGTTGTAAATTCAAGTTATTAAAATACAAAAACTTTTTATCATATTTAAAAAAAATTATAAAATAAATAATGAAAGATCTATATGTTTATATTTAATTAAAAATAAATATATTTAATTAAAGGTTCAAATACATAAAACTCTCTTGAATTTTGAAACAGTTGTATATAAACCCTTTGAATCACTGTTTCAACGATTTATCAACTATCAAAACTATATATGTGATTTATTTTGAGCCAAAACTAAAATGAATAATTTTTTAGTGAACTAATCTTTATTTGAGCATTTGAAAAGCTTTTAAATTGTGCTTTTATATCTTATGTTCATTCATTATTCTTAAAAAGAATTTTAAAAAGCTCACACAAGTTTATAAGCTTTCAATTATAATTTCATCTACTCTTTAAGAAAGTTTCCTGCAAAAGTTTATTTCATTCTTTATAAATCTTGAAAAGATATTTTTTTCAAGTGTTTATAACAACTTACTGGATTGTAGATAAGTTTGTTGAGTAATTCAAGACAAGTTAAGTCTTAAGAGTTATACTTTGGTGGCAAGCACCCATTGGAACTTGTAAACTCAGTTGAAAATTTTAAGTGTGATTTTAAGGACTAGATGTAAGCCAAGTTTGAAGTTGAACCTGTATAAATCTTGTTTGTCTCATCTTCTTCCTTCATACTTAAGTTCTTCACTCTTTTAAATTTTTAAAAGTTTTTAAGTGTTATTCAATTGACCCCCGTTTGGATGCCAACCTATCCTAACATGATTATTAAGGTATGATATTTAGAAGTTCAAAATGTTGATTTTGATTATTATTAATGATAGTAGTTAATATTATGTGTAGACTAACCTCATGAAGCACTAGAGAGCTTGTGTTGGCTTGAAAGCAAGTGATAATTAGGGATAACCTTTGAGTTTTCAAAAGTCTGAAGTAATTAGAGAAAATTTATTCCATGGTATTGCTTGTTAAGTAGTTATAGGTGTTTGTGAACTTGGTATCATGTTGTATATAGTTATAAATATATGAAATTATTTATTGTTTCCATTTGAAAATATGCAAGTGGGACTTTGTTTATTAATGTGATTTTTAAATATTGGGATGATGAATTAGACATTTGAATCTTGGTAGATAAAAGTAAATATGAACTTGATAATGATGCTATAATATGCAATGTAAATTGGCATGAGTATTTATTGCATGATCATATTGTTAATAGGAGTTCGCTCTAGAAGGAGTTTAGTGATTAGGATCCACATGGATTATACCAACATCATAAGACCTTGATATTTCGTTCTTGATTATATCCTTAAACCCCACCTAGTGAAGTTAGTAAAAAGTTTTTGTGACACCCCGTTGTTTAAAATGGGGAAATCTATGGTCCAAGATTAAGTGTGAAACCTTAACTCAGTTACCCTTCATAATTGGTGAGCTTGGACTAACCCAATCACATGGGTGTAGCTCCTATTTAATTGCAACCCATAGATTTTATTGACAATAATGAAGGTTTAGTGGTTTAAGGTAAGCATGTATTGCATTGATTTGTATTAAGCAATAATGAATTGTTTTATAACTGCTTACTTTGCATGCCTATTATTATTTGACATGCACAAGCACATATAGACTATATTGGTTACTGAGTAGTTGTACTCACCCCTTTATTTAACATTTTAGAGACACTAGCTCGAGACTTGATAAGGGAAAAGCTTTTAAGGCTTAGAATATTTTATTCCTACTATAATGCTTCAGTTTACTCTTTGAATTATGTGTAATTAACATGATATTACTAAGTAGGAGCATTATTGTGTTTACTTGCACTGCTACATGCTACTATTGTTGACTGGTTGTATTTAGTTCCTTAAGTTATGATGTGTGTATTGTAAATGTTTGAATAGAGCCTAAATACCGGTGCAAGTATGATGTTGATTACCTTGATGACTATAGATGATCATAGGTGAATTTTATGCTGATTAGCTCCCCTTGCTTTTGATTGAAATTAGGGTTAAGGAGTAAAGTTGTGATATATGTGGTGTTTTTTTTTTTTTTTGAGTTGGTGTAATGAATAGGTTTCTTGAGTCCTCAAAATATGATCTAGTGTTGGATTTTGTCTTCTGGCACTCAATTAAGTTTTAGGTGCTCTAGTTGTGGAAAATGTGTAAAATGTGTTTATTTGAATTAAAGAGCCTCATTTTGTGACATGAAATGGTTGGGGAAAATACACTAGTACTATTAGCCAATTTGTAACATCCCAATTTAAATTTTAATAGTTAATTTGGGTTAAAAAAATAATATTTAGAGGTAAGAAAATTAGTAGAAAATGATTATTAAATCTAACTTAGGATATAATTCTAAAAAAATAATAAATAAAAAGAAAAATAATAATAATAATAAAATATTATTAAATTATTATTATTATTATAAAAAAAACAAAAGAAAAGGTGTAAAAACAAGAAAGGAGAAAAACAAGGAAACTTTCAGCCGCCGCGCATGAACAGTAAAATAAAATAAAAAAAAAAGAAAGAAAGAAAGAAGAGAGAGAAAAGAATAAAAAAAATGTGTGGGACCCACTGAATTTTTATAAAACTCACCCGTTTCCTTTCATTTCTTCAATTCTTTTCCTGCGCGCGAGCTGAGGCGGAGAGAAGCGAGTTGCCGGTGCGAAATATCTAAATTTTTAAGGTAAGAGTTTTTAATAGGATATTTAGGGTTTGATTTTAAGCTTTTTAAGACTAAGTAAGTGTTCTAAAAATTTTTCTTAGTCATCCTTCTTCTTTAGTTTCTGAGTTTATAGTGGTAGAAAATTTAAGATCTAGAAGAGGGATGAATTTATGTTGAATAAATATGGTTTTTGAGGTTGTTAGTAGTATAATAAATATTCTAGAGTATAAATTTATTGGTGATCTTTGAATTTGTGGCTTATGGATCAAATTCTAGACTAGATCTGAAAATATATGTTGATTTATTGAGGTTTAGATGATTATTTGGGATGAGAAATAAATTATTATGGTTATAGGATTATGATTCTAAGCTAGAGACTTAATTTTTAATTTTTGAGTATTTTAGGTACGAATTTATAAAATAAAAAGAAAATTTTGATAATAGAAATTAATTTAGAAGTTGATTTTTAGATTATTAATGTTTATTGATAATTAAAAGAGGAGTTAAAAATTTTACTTAATAGTATTAACTATAGATTTGTACTAAGATTGAGATTAGAAATTATGTTATATTTTTAATTCTATTATTAGAATTATTTTATTAGTTTCAAAAATTGAAACTAATATTTATAAATAATATGTTATTTGTAGATTATATTACTGGTGAAGATTGTGGTGAGAGAGAAATTTTAAGGAATAATTTATTGAAAAAGCCACAAGGTAACCATGCTTTTAATTTATGATTAGTGTTACTTCATGTTAATTGGGTGATTATTGAGAAAATTATGAATTTTGTAATATTGTATAATTGTGCAATATTATTATGAATTTGTTTGATTATTGTGGGAGGTGTTGGGAGACTTGCTATTATTATTGTATTTATGTGTCACGTGGTACGCCCCTATTGGAGCTCAATAGGTGGCTTGTAAGGGCTCGGGCTAATCTACCTTTGGCCGGGTAATTTAGCACTGAGTGAGGGCTACGGCTCGAGGTTAATGGAGGGATATAAGGATGGTTGTTTGTGTTTATTATAATATTTCTTATATTTGTTGGAATTATATTATTTTTAATTCTCACTTAGTAAGCACACACTTAACTGTTTGTATACACTATCATAAATTGGCTTTGGTTACTGAGACTTTTAAGTCTCATTATGTGGTTAACAATTTTCAGGAGAAGAGCCACGAGTGACACGTGGAGGAGTCCCAGAGGCTTAGTGGTATAGATCCACTGTCTCTTTTGGGTATTTAATTTATGATTTATAATGTGTTATATTGCCAATATTAGGGCTTTTTGTTTATTGTCAATTATATGAATATATAAATGTAATCATACCTTTCAAACTATTTTTATTTTTAGTACAATTTGGATGACTGTAATTTTAATATTTGGTTTACTTTGGATTGGTTAAAATGACATGATTATAAGGCTAAATAACTAGCTTGTGTTGAAAATTTATTAAATTGCTTATTTTACTTGTTGGGAGTATAAGGATGGACAAATGTGATTTAGTTTACTTGTTGGGAGTATAAGGATGGACAAATGTGATTTAGCCTAATGGCATGTGGGAGGTAAAAATTTATCTGAAATGTTAATTATAAAATATTTTATATTGAAATTATTGATATAAAAATGTGTTGGGTGGCTGTAACCCAACTATGGTTGAGTTAAATTATTTAAAAAAAAATTTTAGTGTGTTACACAATTCACTGTGTAAGCACTTTGTGAATAGTTAGATCACCTTCATTGAATGTCGGATGAAGATTTAGGGAATGCCAGAAGTTGGCCCCTAAATCTATCTTAATAACAACCCAGATATTGTCTTTATTATGCATTTTATTATGGTAGATGGCACCTTCACCATGACGCATTGCATGAGTGAGGCTCGTCACCACTCATAGATTGGCTAGCAACGATGGATGTTTGTATTGTTGAAAAATGATGTTTGCCCTATCATGCAAATATTTTCAAGTTAAATTAGTATCCTATGTTTCTGTACAATTTATAACTTTGATTAATATTTATTTTGGTTTTAAATCTTTAGTATTTAATTATAAAACTTAGGATCCCATTTTAAATAAGACGATTTTCTAATCATCGGAGGTAGAGTTATGTAGTCAATGCTTATTTACCATGAAAGAGTGACTAACCATTAAGATTAGTGTCTGATTTAGTCAATATTACATACGGCACAATGCGAAGAATTGAGTTTGAATACATGACTTGATAGGGTGATTATGTGCAGGGACAAAGTCATTCAAGTATATGATGATTTGTCATTAAGCATGAGCTTGTGATGTTGGCATGAAATTTAAATATTGGTTAT